CATCAAGCCCAGTGGGCTGGCCGACGTCTACAACTATGAGCTCCCCTCCTTCAAGGTGCGCGCCTCCTCCTCCCCCGTCCGCTGGGCACGCATGCACACCCACACCCACGCATCATGTCCTGGTTACCCACTCACCTCACCCCCCCCCCCCCCCCCCCCCCCCCCCCCCCCCCCCCCTGGCTCCAAGCTCAACCATGAGATTGCCCAGGCCACCCACCCCCCCCCGCCCCTCCCCCCTTTCCACGCCCCCGCCTCCCGCTCTTGAGGAGTCGAGGCGCCGCCCGCCGGCTGCTTCCCGCCGGCCCCGCCCGCATCCCCTCACGCTGACACGCCCCCCCCCCTGGGCACCTGCCCTCCCCCCCGCTCCCCCTCCCCCTCCCTGCAGATGGGCACCCTCGACATGATGATGCAGGTGTCTGACGAGATCCAGAAGATCGACTCCTTCGCCGAGTCGCTCGTGCACAAGATCTCCTCCTCGCTGGTCCAGCTGTCGGACCACCAGAACACCGACTCCGCGGAGCCCCGCGCCACCAGCGGCCAGTCCGGGCCCCTGCTGACCGTTGGCAATGACTCGCTCATCTCCTACCTTTCTAAGTTCCAGTGGAGCGACGCCAAGTGGAGCTCGCGCTCCAACATCCGCGAGCTGCTCGACCTGCTCAGCAAGTTCTTCACCTCCACCGACACCGAGCTCAAGCAGCGCATGGTCGCCTACAACAATGCTCGCTCGTCGCTGGCCTCCCTCCAGCGCCGGACTTCGTGCGTCCTCCCCCTGCCCGCGCCTCGCCTCGACCCGCCTTTGCTGACCGGCACCCTGCCCCGTGTCCCCCCCCCCTGCCGCGCCGCATAGTGGCAACTTCCTGGTCTGCGACCTGGCCCCCTATGTCAACGAGTCGCACTTCCCCTTCCGCAACTCGGAGTACCTGGCTACCGTGCTGACCGTCGTTCCCAAGTACGCATGGCCGCCCGGTCCTCTTCTCCCTCCTTTCCTCGCCCCTTCCCTCGACCCCTGCCGCCTCAGCCATCGCCCCGCTCCCATCTCTGACACGCGCCGGCGCCTCACTCTCCCTTTCTTTCTCCCCCGCCCCGCTGCATCGCACAGCGGCATCGAGCGCGAGTGGTTCAAGTTCATCCAGCGCAACGACCTCGGTGTCCTGACCGAGCCCTCCCTCAGTGTCAAGGTCACCTCCGACAACGACCACTCCGTCTACACCGCCGTCCTGCCCAAGAAGCACATCGACCTCTTCAAGACCAAGGCCCGCGCCGAGAAGTGCGTGCCTCTTCGCCGCTCTCCCCACCGGCGGGACGGAGAGAGGCGCGGCCGGCGTCCCCCCCCCCCCTCCTCCTGTTTTGTACACCACACTGACCTTCCTCTTGTCTGTCTCCCTCTCCCTCTCTCCCTTCGATGCGTTCTTTGTTGCCGGGGCGCCGCCCGTAGGTTCATTGTCCGCGACTTCGTCTACGACCCGGAGCAGCAGGCCATCGAGCGCAAGGAGCTCGAGGCCCTGTCGGTCCAGGTGTCGCGCAACCGCAACGGCCTGCACCTGTGGCTGAAGACCAACTTCAGCGAGGCCTTCGCTGCGTGGTTCCACCTGAAGACCCTGCGCGCCCACACCGAGGCCGTCATGCTTCACGGCCCGCCGAAGGAGCGCTTCCTCAACGTCCTGCTCGTCGTGCGTGTGCTCCTT